ATCAATCTGGTGCACTTTGAGAGTTCAAAATTAAAAGCTCCAACCCATAATCAGTGTGCAAATTTAACAGAGAGAAAATTAAAATGCACAAAATTTTCTTAAACCCCCTTAGCATTGTAGCAGCCCATTAGATTAGTAATAATGGTGGTAGAAATTGTAATTTATCTACTACACGTTACATGGTCAGATAAAATGTATTTGTACAATGCAACTGGGTGGGTGGGGGGGGGGGGGGGGGGGGGGGGAGGGGACGCAAAACTCAATCTCGCCTAAGGCAACCAAAGGGCTAGAGCCGGCCCTGTCGCATGCCCTAAGGCAACAAAAAGCAAAACTGAATTTGTGAACATGTGAAACCTGCCAAAAGGCTTTTCTACACCACCATACACTCACACATTTTTATGTACAGTTCATGTCATTATAAATAAGATTACTAAAGCAAATAATCTTGCCTTCTTCTCACACTATGTGCTCCTGTGACCATGTGTCAGAAAAGGACGTTCCACCTTCAAATGGTGCACGATAGTGACTCCCAAACTTTATTGGACTGTTCTTTGACACTTTTTCAAACATTCTAATTGGTTGCAATCATTTAAAGAAACATATACTGAACATAGGGCTTAAGAAAACTTTCCATTGCCTGAGGCCAACGCTGTGCTGTAGAGGGTTAATAATGTTCTCAAAAGGTTAGAACAAAAACTTTGTCTCATGTCTTTACGAAGGTCGAAAAAGCGGCCATTGCTCCCATGAGAGAGTGTGGTGTTCGCATCCTCAACTATTTCGACGACTGGCTGATACTAGTTCAGCCTCAGGAGCAGTTGTGCGAACACAGGGACATGGTGCTCAGTCACCTCAGCCAGTTGGGATTTCGGGTCAACTGGGAAAGAGCAAACTCGCCCCCGTGCAGAGGATCTCTTTTCTCGGTATGGAGCTGGACTCGGTACACCAGACACCACGCCTCACAGAGGAACGTGTCCGGTCAGTGCTGAACTGCTTGAATACACTCAAGAGCAGAACAGCGGCCCCACTGAAACTTTTTCAGATGCTCCTGGGGCATATGGCAACAGCATCCGCAGTACTGCCGCTTCAGCACTGGCTTCATGGTCGAATCCCGAAATGCAGTTGTTAGCAGTACGTCTTGCGCTGGGCCGCCTCAGAAAGCCGCTACTAGGCAAGCACGTACTGGTCCATACGGACAGCACTGCGACTATTGTGTACATCAACCATCAAGGTGTTCTACGCTCCTGCCGCATGTCACAACTTGCCTACCATCTCCTCCTTATGGAGTCAGAAGCATCTGAGGTTGCTTCGTGCCACTTATATCCCCAGCCTACTCAATCGTGCCGCCACCAAGCTCTCACGACAGCCTGTGGCCCCGGGAGAGTGGAGACTCCATCCCCAGGTGGTCCAGTTGATATAGGACCTCTTTGGGGCCCCACAGGTAGACCTGTTTGCCTCTCCGGACTCGTCCCACTGCCGGTTGTTCTACTCCATGACCGAGGGGACCCTCGGCATGGATGCACTGGCACACAGCTGGCCCCAGGGCCTACGCAAGTATGCGTTTTCCCCAGTGAGCCTTCTCGCACAGACACTGTGCAAAGTCATGGAGGTCGAGGAATAGATCTTGCCTGTTGCCCCTTATTGGCCCAATTGACCCTGCGCAGGGAGTTTGATTGACAGGCGATCTGACCAATCATAATCCGCCATCCGCCGAATCCACCATTTTTGTCCACCAAAGCAGTCAGGAGAGAACTCCCTGCGCATCCATGCAGCCTAGCATGGATAAGAGCAGGGAGAGCAGTAATAATCCCCCTTAGGGTAAACAGAACAGGACCAACATGAATGTATGCAGATATCATTAATTCAGATTTGAAAGAACAACATAATTCGAGAATTTATTCTGATTCAAGGGGAATCAGAATGCCAAATCTTGACTGGCGAGAAGAGGAGCTGGGGAGGAGGAGAGTAATTAGCTCCTGAGAAACGCGACAGCTGCTGATAATACTGAAGGAGCTTAAATATGTATACAGTGATAGGCGTCGTATTCCTATAGGTAGACGTGGATCAGCTGAGAGTCAGCTGACGCGAGCTTGACTAACGTGACCTGCCAGAACTGACGCTACGCTTGATTTATTGTTTAAATTTCTCTAAAAAATGACCAAATTTGAAAGTTGAGACTTTGTTTCATATCAAAAGTAACCTGGTCTGTCATGTCTGTCAGCGCGTTGTCAGTGTCCTCTTTGCTCCGCGATGTATTTTTCACTGCGTGAGAACATGGTGTGGCGTGAGAGCGGCGTGGCTTGTCGGACATAGTAACAGTAACTAAAGGGGGCGGGTCTTTGCGAACTATCAATTGGAACTGGTTCTCAGAACTCATGCTCCTCTCGACAGCCCCTCCTGGGTCAATTTCTCTAAGAAAGGGCCTCCTTTTTCAGGGACGGGGCACAGTATGGCACCCGCGTCCAGACCTCTGGAAACTCCATGTCTGGTCCCTGGAAGGGAGGACCTCCGCTTGGAGGACTTTGGTGATTTACCACAAGCTGTCCTAAGCACTAGGGGTGTGCAAAGCAGCCGGTATTTGTATCTGTATTTGTATTTGTTGAGGGGGGAAAAGTATTTGTATTTGTATTCGTATTCGAGTAAAATTCAAAATAGGCCTAAAAATAGGGGGGGGGGGGTGGGTTTGGGGGGGGTTGACTAGCTTTCATAACGCATACACGCAAGGTCTCTCGCTCTCTTCCGTGCGCGCGCTAACAGTTTGGAGCACAGTATGTTCTGTCTCGCATGCGCGTTAGATTCCGGGAGATTTGAACTAATTTCAGGGAGCCGCTATCAATAGAGATCTGCGTGCCATATAACTCCCACAAGTGCATACAATTCGACACAACTACACAAGTATTTTTTAACCGAACGTTAACGTTACTGTCTAAATTACCGAGCTAACAGAGCTACCTAAACAGAGCGAACATGAGAGCATCCGACTGCAGACGTCAATAATGCAGCGTAATGGAATAATCTCCCGATCAAACTCCGCTTCCCGAAAGTTATAAACTGCCTCCGGAACCCAGTTAAGGTACAAAAATCTATTCAACAAAAATAGTGATGCAGTTAAGTGTTTTTTCGCTCAGCCGAGCCCTCTCTGTTGCTGTGTGGAGCAGCGTGTGTCAGTCACCTCTTCCTGAACGTCACTCACTCACTCACTCTAACTCACTCACTCTAACTCATCCGTGCATGCACTGCGGTCTCGTGAGGAAACGCAGCTTTTTGATATAAAGTTTTTCTTGTTCCCGAATACAAATATTTTTTTAAGTATTTGTTCGAAATAACTATTCGTAAAAAACACGTTATTTGTACCTTTCCGAATACCGTATTCGGGTTCGGCTCCACCCCTACTAAGCACCATGACTTCTACGAGAGTGCCCTCTATGAGGCATGCTTACGCTGGGAGCTGAAAGGTGGCAGCACTAGATGACGTTTTACTTGGGATCCCAATTTCGTCGGTACGTCGGAAGTGACCGACTGAAAGGGAACGTCTCAGTTACGTATTGCTGGACGTTACTGGACCACCGCTGACTCCGGGCTCCTGCTCGGCTCCTCAGAGAAAAACTAATGGTGCTTGAATCCGCTTCCTATTTATATCCGTGCTGCGGGGCGGAGCACAAGATGCAAATCTCGCACGCAGATGCTCATTGGCTCGTTCTGTTAACACTCGAAGATGATAGGGCTCCCTGGCGCGATCCCAGTTTTGTCAGTACGTTGACGTACCTTCAGGGAACGAGGTTTACATACATAAACGACGTTAAAAAAGGGTTAAATAAAATGTTTAAAAAAATAACCGAGATGTTCCCTCGTTTAGTTTTGGTATAAGTACTCCCAGTTTTGGTCAGTTCTTTGTCCTGTCTCGTCTGTAAAGCAGATGTGTTCCCAGTGTTTATACCCCATCTCCTGTGGATTATTGAATTAAAGACTATTTCTTTGTGCTCTTCATGAGCTACTTTTCCAGCCACTCGTGACAATGTCCTCATTTATCTCATGTGACATTTTTCAAAAAAAAAATTTATTTTGTGTTCCACACAAGACAGAAAGTCATACAGGTTTGGAACGACATGAGGGTAGATGACAGAATTTTCATTTTTGGCTGAACTATCCCTTTAATTATACCTTTGGGAGTGTTGGTCCTCAGAATTGAGCTTAATCTGTCAGAAACTTTATTTGTAAAAGCATTGGGTGAATCTCACATAAAATTAAATGTGACAACCTCCTTTTTGAGGATGCCCTCATTTGTAGTATATAACGTTTTTTTATTGTAAAAAAAAGTTGTCTGTAGGCTTTGGATAAGTCTATGGAATGTCTTAATTTAGCTAAGTAAATGTGTGTTTGTGAATAATATAATAAAAGTGGTAACCTTTCCACAGATGGACAAGCAGTTATTAAAACAGAACCCATTCTTTTTCAGTTCATATTATTAACCTGTAAATTATTCCATTCATCAAAAAAAGCTTCAATGCTAAATGTTTATTGTTATTTTGCTATAGTACAGCTTATAGTCCATGGCATTATAGCAGAGAAAATTAACAATATATAGTGATTAATACAGTTAGTATTACCTAACCCAAACAAAACACATGTTGAAGATTGCTACAGATTTCAATGGATGTCACTATTATTACAGTTCTCACACTTGCTGATTTAAAAGTTCAGTTCACCAAAAACCTCTATGACTAATTGTATGGACCAAAAACCCTGCTTTTTTTCACACAAAAAAAAACAAAAAAAAACATCAAGTGTCACAGAAGAAAGTCACATGGGTTTGAAACGACATGAGTTGAAATCATTTTTGAGTGAACTATCCCTTTAACTTCTTTATGGTGAATAGGAGGAATTTGCTCTAAAGGAAATGTAATATTTGATCATTTGATTCTCTTTCAAAACAAAATTGGTCAAGCAAAGCAAAGCAACTGGAAACTCTGCAATTGTGTTTTTTCTTCCTTTCTTCTCCCATCTCACTCTTGGCGGTCATTCAATTTTCAATATTTCGATTTCGAGCTGGTTGGTGACCTGTCTCAGTAAAGGGCAGTCTAGACACGACATCAGCACCTTCTTTCCAGGAGTTCGAGGGACCATCGACACTTTATATTTCACTGAGCCACCAGGTAATATCTGGCTGCAAGTGGAAGACATAAGAGACAAAACATTTTTGAGAATTTAGCCAAAGGTGCATTTAGTTTTGTACTGTATGTCTTCCCATTTCTGATCGCAACATAAACAGGATCTTTCACACAAAAAGATAATTATAAATAAAACAAGATATGGAAAATGTATATGGACATCTACAAAAATAAATAAATGTGTCTTTGTATATGTCTGGGCATGGTAATGGGTGTGTGGTGGAATAGTTGACATGACAGTTATTTATTCATTTGCATTTGCTATATTTCGTCCAGCCAGTGTGATATAAATATGAAGTTTACCTGTAATTTTTTATTTTGATTGGTATCAGACCAGGTCCATCAAGGCGGAGCTGAACATTTTGCAGAATGAAATTGTAAGGATTCTGGAAATCCACACTGATGGTGAGATCTTTGCCAACTTCTGGGGTTCCCGACATCTGTGGATGAATTATAATGTAGAGCACCAACAAATGTTTAGTGCTTTTACATAGCTCTTTATACATGTACACAGGTAAGTTTGGAAAACTTGTACAGTACCGATACTAAAATGTGATGTGAACACACTGCACTGATTGGTCAGACAGAATCGTCACTACCAGCGTCATTGTATTTGCGACCCACATCAAACCCGCTAGATTTAAATAGTCACTTTAGCCAGTAACAGCCACCGCTGTAGCACCTGTTTCAAAACTACTTGCTTGACTTGCTTGAAGAAAAAAGAAAGAAAGAAAACTTCGAAAAAAGAAATGGCGGAATCGTGGTCAGTGAATGAAGTGCAGACGTTCCTCTTGTTGGTTGCCGAGGAGCAGATAAACTATAACAGTCAGACTATAATCCCACCCACTTTGAAGCGGTACTAACTGCAGTGGAAAAGCAAACCGAGCTCAAGCGAACCGAGCCGTGCCGTGCTGAGCCGAGTCGTACCATGCAGTGGAAAAGCGAAGCAAGCCAAACCATGCCACGCCGAGCCGTACCAGCAGTGGAAAAGCGCCAATAGGTGAAGCAAAAAGAAGCAGTCAAGCAACAGGAGGTGACATTAACTGTACGTGTTTTGTATCCTTTTCTCATTTGATTTAAGTGAAGTTGTAGTTACTAAGAAACAGTGTTTGTTTACTGTGCTCACGAGCTGAAATCTTGTTGGTGAACTCTCGTTTGTTCGTGTTTAGTCATGAGGTAAACAGTTTTGCTAGTGAGGCGTGTCCAGCTGTATTCAATAACAACATTTCAGGTGAGTATAAAGCAAGTAGTATACCACTGCAGCAGACGCGGCAGCCCTTGTGTGTGAAGCCCTAAGAGTGTAAAGACCAGCGACCAGAAACTTACGCTCACTCTCACCCTCTCGCCTATCCTCTTTGGTCTCATCAACACTTCCTCCACCTGATCAGCTCTCAACACTAGATACTAACAGTGCAACTGATACTCTTTTCTCCACTTTAACATCCTGCTTGGACAACTTCTGCCCCCTTTCCTCCAGGCCAGCCCGCACCACACCCCCTCTGCCCCCCTGGTTATCTGATGTTCTCCACAAACATCATTCTAAACTCAGGGGTGCAGAGAGGAAGTGGTGCAAATCGAAAGATCCTACTGACCTTGGTCTTTATCAATCCCTCCTTCTCTTCCTTCTCTGCTAATATCTCTACTGCTAAAATGACTTACTATCACAACAAAATTAACAATTCTTCTGACTCTCGCATGCTTTTCAAAACCTTCTCCTCTCTTCTCAACCCTCCTCCTCCTTCTCCTTCATCAACCCTAACAGCTGACGATTTTGCCACATTTTTCATAAATAAAACAACTACCATCAGCAGCCAATTTACCAAACCACAAACTGACACGCACATCTTACCAGCAAACACACACATTCTACCCTCCTTCACTCTCCTTCTACACTCCACTTGATCCTATTCCCACTAATCTACTTCAAGCCATTTCTTCCTCAGTTGTACCCGCACTCACGCACATCATAAACACCTCTTTTCATACTGGTTCTTTTCCCACAGCATTTAAGCAGGCTCGGGTAACCCCACTGCTTAAGAAACCCACTCTAAATCCAGCACATCTGGAAAATAACTGACCGGGATCCCTTCTTCCATTCGTCGCGAAAACACTTGAATTAGTGGTTTTCAACCAGATCTCTTCCTTTCTTACACAAAACAACCTCCTGGACAACAACCAGTCTGGTTTCAAAAGCGGACACTCAACTGAGACTGCCCTGCTCTTGGTAATTGAAGGTCTAAAACTGGCAAGAGCAGCTTCCAAATCCTCAGTTCTCATCCTGCTGGATCTGTCTGCTGCCTTTGACACAGTTAACCACCAGATCCCCCTGTCAATCCTAAAAATGAAGGGCATCTCGGGAACCGCACTACAATGGTTCAAGTCTTACCTCTCAGGTTGGTCCTTCAGGGTGTCATGGAGGGGTGAGGTGAGGTGTCTAAAACCCAACATCTAGCTACTGGGGTGCCTCAGGGCTCAGTGCTTGGACCACTTCTCTTCTCCATCTACATGACATCACTAGGATCTGTGATTCAGAAACATGGCTTTTCCTATCACTGCTACGCTGATGACACACAACTCTACCTCTCATTCCAACCTGATGATCCGACTATGATCTCAGCCTGCTTGACAGACATTTCTGGCTGGATGAAAGACCACCACCAACTAAACCTTGTGAAGACAGAGTTGCGTGTGGTCCCGGCCAACCCAACACTACACCACAAGTTCTCCATTCAGCTAGGTTCGTCATCCATAACTCCATCAAGGTCAGCCAGGAACCTTGGAGTTGTGATTGATGATCAATTGAACTTTACAGACCACATTGCTAGAACTGCCCGGTCCTGCAGATTTGCCTTATACAACATTAGGAGGATCAGGCCCTTCTTATCAGAGCAGGCTACAAAACTCCTTGTCCAAGCACTTGTTCTTTCCAGACTGGACTATTGTAATGCTCTCCTGGCAGGTCTTCCAGCTTGCACTGTCAAACCCCTGCAACTGATCCAAAATGCTGTAGCTAGAGTGGTCTTTAACGAGCCAAAGAGAGCACACATCACTTTACTCCTCACAAAATTGCACTGGTTGCCAGATGTCGCTCGCATCAAATTCAAGTCACTGACTTTTGCCTACAGAACAACCACTGGGTCTGTTCCCTTTTACCTAAACTCATTACTTCAGACTTACGTGCCATCCAGAAACTTGTGCTCTGCAAGTGAACGCCATCATTTTTGTTAGTTTCTTTCTACCATTTTTTTGTCCTTTCAATGAAAGTCAATCAATCAATCAATAAATATAGGTTTGGGACAACACTGAGGGTGAGTAAATTATGACAGAATGCTCATTTTTGGGTTATCCCATTACGAAAATTGTACACATACATGAACTATTTCTAAATAAATCAATATAAAATTGTAATCATAATTTTAATCAAATTTGAAATCTGTATCAATACCAAGCCCTACACACAAGTTCCCTTAAGAATGGTTATTGAGGATATTTACCGTTATTGTGAGTTTAGGAGGCTGGAGAGTGATTACTTTCATCGTGGAGAGGGACATGTCGGTTTCCTCAATATGCCCGTACACCACAAAGAGCAGTTTTCCCTGTTCCACCAGGAATGGTGTATACTCCTTAGCATAGACATCTACCGTCAGGGACTCAGCTGTAAAGATATTATGATCACACTGTAGCCTAATCCATTAACAGTATTCCTAGACTTCCTTAGAGCTCAATCTCAAAGTAATGTGCGGTTTACTGAAACAGTTGTGACTCACTCTTCGAGGCTTCCACAGTTGCAGCTTTGTTTTCATGCATAAAGGTCTTGCTGACGACGCCCGTGTAAAACGCCACACAGCCGGTGATGGTAGCGTTGATGGTGCAGGTCTGGCTGGTCTGGTTGTTAATGTTCAGCGTTAGCTTGAAGTTATCGCCCATTTTGACGGTGTCGGTCTGGATCTCGATGGTCACACCTGCTTCAGTGAGTGGCAAATAATCCCTGGTAGGAATGCCGGAACGCTCTGCATTCTGCATGACCTCTCTCTCCTTGACGGTTTCTAGAGTCAGAAGGGTTGAAGGTAAATTGTTGGGATTTTCCACTGCTTCCCACAACATCAGTCAAACCACTATTGTTTGTTGCACATGTACATAGGGTGTTTGGCATCCTTATGGAAGTCTGTTGAATAATTAAATATCTGAAGGACTCTGCTGAGTCTCCTAAGTGACTCTAGAGAGCTTTTGAGTTATTGAAACCAGCTGTGTTGTTAAACTGTCAATCAAAGAATCCAGAAGGCAACACAATTTATTTGGACTGCCCTTGAATATCAAATTACCCAGGATAGATAAACATTCAAGGCTTTAGAGATGTTGTAGACCAAATGAGGTTGCGAACAAAAGGTCATTAACCCTCTGGGGTCTAAGGTGTTTTCTGGGCCCTGGAGGTGTTCTGACATGCGCTGACATTTGTGCTTATTTGTGACATTTTCATGGCTAAAGTCTGATTACACATTTAGCACAAACTCTGCTACAATAATATGTCAGCAGCATGTTTGTAGTTTTGAGATAATGACATTTATGCATGGTTTGTAAAAAAAACTTTTAAAAATGGTCACTGAAATAAGGTCATGAAACCCATACTGATTATTTCTTCACAAGAATTTTGAAAATTGTATCACGTAGCCTAGAATATTTGCTTCAAAACTATGTGAAAATCATCCTGCATACTCATTCAGATAAAACAATATATTGATTTAACCCTAAAACAGGCAACGTGTCTCACGAGATACACCGTTTTTATTGTCTTTTTTGGGACATAAGAACAATTTTTTCATCAAATTATTTTATCACTTATGACAGCCTGGTCTGTCTTGAGTATGCTGGTCACATGATTTGCTTCAAATTTCTTGTGATCAATTAGTCAGCCTGACCTAAATCCAACATGGCTGCCAGTGGTGCAGAACATTCAGATTTTGAGATAAGTAAATATATATTAAACTTACTTTTCTTCTGAGAAAAAAAAAAATACTGCTAACATTAATTGTGAACATTGTCTTAAGGTGCTGAAGGAGAAAATTAAGTAATATGTTGTTCATGTTGTTATTTAGCACGTTTTGAAATGTATACGTGTCTCCTGAGACACGTTGCCTGTTTAGGGTATAAAAAAGGGATTAAACTAGCTCTATTTAAAATGCACTATTCAAACTTAAATGACTGTAATTCAAGAAGGCTTTGGAATATAGACCTAATTATGTTCTTGTTTTAAAGAAATCACTCAGCAGATTATTGCTGAAGTGAAAGCACTTTAAAAAATGAAAGTATGAAAAATTTAAGGAAGTTTAAATCTTACATTAAATCAAATATACTGTACTTAATATTTATTCTTTTTTATAAAATATGTATTTTACAAAATATTTTTTACTATGAAATTACTATAAAATCAAAGCCATATATCTAACCAAGTTGTGTTCCAAATTTGAAGTTGATATCACAAAAATTGAAGTTCCCGTGAGATTTTGTTTAGGCATAATACCAAAAATAGCCACCGGGTAACTTACATTCCATTGAATTTAATTGTATGCATTCTACCATAACAAATTAATACAATTCTGTCCAAATATCACTGCTGTCACAAAATATGGAACCTTTCTGACAATATGTGTTTTGTCAAGATTAAAAAAGGTTTTGATCATAAATTATGAAACATGACGATGCCCAAAAGGGGAGGAGCCCATTAAAATAATTTAGAGTACCGTTTCTATGGTAACACAACGTCCAATTTCAAAACGGGTTTCACAGGCTGAATCTTGAGTTCGTAAGCTTTCGAATGATATATAATTTGTCAACATTAGATCAGGTGAAGTATGGGATATATAATTGTTTTAAACAGACAGTGGCAGTAACAGTTAACAGATTAATGACTTGGTCCTTTTTTTATACCCTAATCAGACAATGTATCTCAGGAGACACAATTCATGAAATCCAAAATATATAAAAAATTAAAAAAAATTCTTTTGGATATGTTTTACTTAAGTCCAGATGATATAAAAAATGAAATGAAATTATTTTTTGCTTAGCATTTTCCACTCTTGCCTGTTTAAGGGTTAAAATTTGTAAGACATGTTTTGTGTAAGAAAGCTCTATGCGAGGAGGGTGTGAATCATCATGAATATTGATGTGTTTCACACCTGAGAAAAACAAAGACCCTCCCATAATGGCCCTATCAGGTGCTATCAGGCCCTATCATTATGAGGAAACTTGCACAAAGAATGAGGAGTGATTTAAAAAAGAATGGCTTTTTGATTGTTTAGATTTATTTACAACAACATAATCCAAAGATGCACAACAAATGACAAAAAAGCACATTATTGAACACACTGATGTAAAGACAGAGACTTGAACAGTCACACACCTTTGTGACATTCCTGAAACAGTACATACCTGTCATTTCCAATGTGTTTTATTTTTTACTTTACCATGTTCATGTACAGAGACTAGTGTGAATTTTGAAGTCAGCAGGACTCATCAGTGGCCTTTGGTCCCTGTAAAAAAAAGAAAATAAACAAACAGCTGTGAACATGCTGATATCAAGAGAAACTATAGGGCTGCACGATTTTGGGAATACATTTTGGATTTCTCTGGTTAAAATTGCGATTTAAAATTTATATATAAATAATGAACACCAGGTTTGTTGTGGGCACATATAGGCTACGTGTAGTGCTGCATAAATAATAACAATAGCCTATAGCAGGCGGCCTATAAATCGTTAAAAAGGAACACTTCAGTAACACTTCAGTAGAGAAAAATATATGGATTATCATATGTTACTTCAAATGTTTCCATTCGTTATGACATTATGAATTGAGATTGGAGTAAAAACATGAAGCCTAATGTTTGGCACGTTTTGCTTTTCAAACGCACAGCACGAGTGACTCAAGCTCACAGCGCGTCCAGAGAACATTTACTGAAGCGATCGAGCCGCTCCAAACTATGAAACATTATTGTTACCATATTATACATATCCACGTTTGAGCAGATATCCACAAACACAGTATTTAACAGTAAACACGGGTCTAAATATTATAATATTCACCATATTAGAGTAAACACTCATACTAGCCTACTTTTATCATGCTGTGTTTTATTATCGAAAACATCCTTGTGTTGTACATGTAAATAAATTTAGCATTGCAAGGTTGACTACCTGCCTAGTTCACATTTCAACATGTTTCTGTCTATATATAGATACATGTACGACATTAGGCTTCATGTTTTTACTCCAATCTCATTTCATAAAGTACATTTTAGTCTGGCACCAGTTTAACTAGTAGCTACAATGTAAAATAACAATAACATGCTTACTGTCTTACCTTAAAAATCTTCTCATCTTCAAATCGCGTTCTTCTAATTCTTCTGAGGTAAATCCAAGGAATACAGCACAGCACAGCACAAACACAGTCTTCCAAACTCAATGAAAAGCAGAGGAGTACGTTACTGGAGTCTCTGAGTCTATGTTTTTGAGGTGATGGGGCGTTTACAGTTCTGCGTTCCTTCACGTGGACGATTTGCATGTCAATCGCACGTTGCGTGCGTGGGTGTGGTCACATTAGAGTTAATGAGGAAACTGTACATGTTGTTTCTTTCATACGGATTACTCAAACAGAGAATATTTGTTTTTGATATAATTTGCATAATTTAGAAATAGAGACTCCAAACTTTGTAAAGATATAAGTCTCAAGTCTATGTGACAAACATTCGCTGAGTTACAGTTCATTTTCTGTCGCGTTTCAGAATGAACTTCACATTGAGAGAGGCGGCAGAACGCGTATCATGTTTATTTTCTTTATTTTACGACAACACATCATGAGTTTATTTTATTATGAGTGTACACAAATGAAAGAAGACATTTAACAGTTTTGAATGATGTATAACATTTAACACACTAATGATGTATATGTAAGCGAAAGAAAAGCGAGACATAAAGCGAGCTGGTCACGCCGGCGTGACCGCCGACCACAGAGGGTTAAACCCACCAAATTAGTAAACCAAGGCCCTTGAATTGAATTCTACGTGTCAAACTTAGCAAGGTAAAAGGTTCTTTCTAATCACTTCCTAGTGACTTAAGCCGTGTTTCCACCGAAGGAACTTTCCCCAGGAACTAGGGACTTTGGGGTGGTACTCGGTGTGTTTCCACCGCAGGGACTAGGGTCTAAATGAAGTTCCTGGTAAAATTTCCCCCTCAGAAAGTCCCTGCTTGTGAGGTAGTACTTTTTCAAAGTTCAGGAACTTTCGGGGGTGGGACTTGGGCTCTGAACATGCTGATTGGTTGAGTCAAGGCAGCATTTTGATTGGTTGACTCCACGCAGCATTTTATTTCAATCACCATTTTTTTTTTATCTGTTGCGGTGCGTGCAGTAAGAGTTGTTTGCTATTCGAATCAACAATTGAGTTTAAATATACGACCGAAGGACCGACGACGAGGTTCAGGCTTTATTAAGCTTATATGCGGAGGACGAAATCCAGCAGGAACTGGAAAATTGCTCGCAGTCCTACGTCACCGGACTAATTTGCCTAATCTTCATGGTAGTTTAGACCGCGATGGAAACGCAGACAGCAACAGGTCTGGTGGGGAAAAAAGGCCCTGTGACAAATTGTTACGGGTAATTTCAGTGGAAATGCGGCTTAATACAATGGTAAACTGTAAAATTAATTTTTCTCAGGAAACCCCTGTATGCTAGCGTGACATCCCATAGTTCACATGCGTAGTGTCATTCATATCAGAAACAGAATCGCATTGCTACATTGAATGCAGCTTTCCTGATCTAGTCACATCGCTTTTTGATTCTGTAGACTGATGTGAAATGAAACTTACTTTCTGGATATTTATAGGTAGAAGTGATGTCCTCATAGTCGCTACTGTCTGGCTTTTTTGTCACAACGAGCTTCCCAACATAAGTGGTGTCCACTTGAAGAATCTTCGTTTCTCCCTCCTTATTAGACTGATGGTATACCACATCACTGTTTAGCTGAAGAGAGGAGAAATTATTTTGGTGACACTTTACTTGAAGGGGTGTGCATAAGACTGACATGACACCTTCATAATCATGACATGACACTTGTCATGAATATGAAGGAGGTTTTATGCATGTTTATGACAACTGTCATTAAGTGTAATTCGCTCAATTATGACATTTTTAATGCGAATATGACATTGTTTGAGATGTCTTTGTTATGACAACTTGACATAAACCACTGTGGTGGAGGTCAAGAAAAATATTCATGACACAGTTATAATGGCCTCATGACAGCCTATGTCAAAACCAACCACATGACAGTTGGTTGGCATTGTTTGGCATTGTGGATGGTTTTGACATAGGCTGTCATAAGGCCATTATAACTGTGTCATGAATATTTTTCTTGACCTCAACTACAGTGGTACAAATTGAATTTGTCATTAAAATGTCATAATGTCCTCATGACAGCCAATGTCAAAACCAACTACCTGACAGTTTAATGTAATGTTAACACATAAAGCTAAGTGGTTTGTTAAGTTTGATAATTAATCTGCTATGTCATGTTTATGACAGGTTGTGTTGTCTTAGTAATGTCAAGTTGTCATGACAAAGACACGGCAGGTTATGATGTATTGGTTTATGTCAAGTTGTCATAACAAAGACATCTCAAACAATGTCATATTTGCATTAAAATTGTCATAATTGAGCGAATGACACTTAATGACAGTTGTCATAAACATGCATAAACCCTCCTTCATATTCATGACATGTGTCATGTCATGATTATGAAGGTGTCATGTCAATCTTATGCACACCCCTTCAAGTAAAGTGTTACCATTATTTTTTTATTGTCCATTTGCGTGTACAGTAGCTAAGATTTTAATGTCTTGTAAATTGAATCTAAAGGTATAAACATCAACAAGAATTGGCATTAGGGGTGTGCCCGAAGCTGAATACTATGTTCGGAAAGGAAATGACGTGTTCTAAAATATGAAATGGTAGGAAAAATTATATTTCAACGTTTTAGTGTTCTCTCTGAATTATATATTTGTGTAATTATATTGTATATAATTTGGGGGTATCTGGGAGCCGCCAACAAGAATATATGAGGTATTAAAATCGCTTTTGAATGCACACGCTTTTTACTTTTGCTTTCTAATTTGAGATCATGCGTACTGTGTATAGGGAGAGGCGGTACTGACCACACATTTTACAAGATAAGTTCTGTTGTGCACCAAATCCTCCGACAACGTCCTGTCAGTCATCTCTTCTTACAATCTTCACATGATAAGTGAATTCTAATGTAATGTAATGTAACCGACTTCCACAGTAAGTCTAACCATGTCCCTTTAGGGGCTCCATAGAATACGCTATTCATTTTACGTGTCTTTCCGAATTTGGATTTAGGCTTCAGGCACATCCCTAAATTACATCTTTCTTACCTCTGCAAAGACAAACTTTGCATCGAACGGATAGCTGAGCTCTCCCTCTTTGACAGCATTGACAGACGTTGGGCCACATCGATAAAGGCCTGAATAAGAGAAGAAAAATAACTTGTATATAACTTAAGGTATATTTATGATGTGCCATAAGTCATGGCAAGAATCATACCATCACTGGTCTCCTGAGGGGTGGAGTCGATCACCTGCCAGCCAGAGAATTTTTCCGGCAGATCAGGTCTCTTCATGTACACCTCCGTCCAGCAGTGGTAGTTCCTTTAAGAAAAACTCAACTGTATTACTAATCAACCTGTCAGTTATATAACAGTGGCTTTATAGTACAGTACATTAACTCAACACGAAAAAATCATGCAATGTCTGAGATAAAACTGTGAAATTATATTAACCAAGGCACCCATTTTTCAAGTATAGGAGTTAGGACCACTTAAATGTAACACTTATTTGTGTATCTCACCAGACTGAATCTTTTGTTCGGCTTCGGTCCACTTTCCCGTCTTCGTCCAGCACAATGTCTGTCTTCAGGTTTCCCGTGTTGTCGTGAGCAGAGCAGAAGTTGGTGATGACCCGTGCAGGGATCCCGAGACAGCGCACAACTGGGTGGAAGGTTGAACAGATGTTGGAAAATATGAGGTAAAATCAAGCGGCAACCAGAGCCGGACAGTAACGGAGTACATTTACTTGAGTACAGTACTTAAGTACAATTTTGAGGGATCTGTACTTTACTCGAGTATCATTTTTGGGGAGTACTCATGACTTTACTCAAGTACATTTGAGAGGCAAATATTGTACTCTTTACTCCAATACATTTCTATCCATAAACGTGAGTACCCGAGTAAAAAAAAAAAAGAAAATCTCGGAAACCCTCAATTTGTTGTTTCCCTCTCAAACGTGATTGGATTGTGCAGGCGCCACTGATTGGGACAGCCTATCAGCAATCACTTTCAGCTTTCTGCCAAAGTCAACTCCATGGTCAGATTTGATATTACACATTAATGTAAGCCAAGCATTTGGTTTGATGTTCTTGAGTATGTGGTGTGTTTAACACAGTCAGGTTCAAATGTGGCAGTGGCGTAGCCACGAGGGATTTCTGATTTCTTAAAAAAAAAACTTTAGGAGGCAAAATATTTTACTGATTGTGTGAATTACACTGCGCAAACCAAAGTAGGCTACTACCCAGCGAATGAAGAAGGGTTGGCACTCAGTCTCCTTTATTTTTCGGGTTTGCATTTATGAGGAAAAAACAATGTTATGGATGTGTTCTCCGTTACGGACGTGAGCGCTCTGAAAGCGGCATTAAAAATGCTTTAAAACTTTCACAGAGACCTCAAACAGAAAACACAAAACCTTTCTTTAACCTGAATTTCGTTTTGCATTAATTGTATCTTAATTTTAATCAATGTTTCATCAACCAATTGCCTGGGTTTAATAAATAAGAAGTAAATAGCAGACGATAGATAAGAAACGGAGGCGCCGGCACGTGAACTGGATCTCGTCTCATAAATGAACCGAAACTCAGTGTATAAGGTAGCCTCTACTTGCCTCTCACAGACATGTCTACTTTTAAACAGAAAAATTCAAAACGAAAGAAAACAGACTACAGACTGTTCTCTGCTTATGTAATCCGTATGAAATGTGCATTTCTCTCTGGCGCGTTCACTACGGAAGATCGCGAGTCAGCATCGTCAACTTCATCTAGCCGACACTGACAAAGAAAACACTTGTTTATTAACAAGTGTTTATTAATAAACAATTAAAATATCTCCTTGCTATATTTTACATATTCATAATCATTCCTTTTGCCGGTTCTTTGTGACAGCTTTTAGGTGCTTTATTGGCAGCGCCACCCTTACATGTGGTGTGTGTGTGTGTGTGTTGTCCCCGCATTTAAAGATGGGACCCCCCAAAATTTTAATTAAATTAAATAAAGCAACATGGTAAAAAGATGAAAATGACTTGATTTTACTTTCAATTCCTTTTACATTCTCCAAGGTATTAACATTAACATTTTTCATAACTCCATGTAGGACGTTTCTGTGCATAAATGTAAGCACTGTGGCAGTAGATTAGTAATGCAATATTTAGAAAATTTACTCTTGTACTCTTGTTACTCAAGTACTTTTAAAAACAAGTACTTTAGTACTTTTACTTAAGTAGACATCTGAATGCAGTACTTTTACTTGTACTTGAGTAAAATTTAGCAAGGGGTATCTGTACTTTTACTCAAGTAACAAAGCTCTGTACTCTGTCCGCCTCTGGCGGCAACCTTCCGGTCTCTCTCTTAAATCCAACACGAAAGTGACTTAAACTGCAATTCATCGACTGGCCTCTAGAGACAGGCTCCAAAAGAGAGTCAATCCCATATTAATTTAACACCCCATGTTAATATGTCCAACTTTACAGCAGAAAAAAAATTTTTTACAGCCTGGTACAAAAAGTGTTTTTTGTCTAAATAGCAAATTTTGCCCTTCATGACAACTGTGAGGGGGGTGAATTTTTTTATAACTCATCTGTTTAAATTATATTAAGCCTTTATATTAAGCCTTAAAGTTCTGAATAATTAAGGGCGTTGCCACTTGAGTGACAGGTGGATTGCCACTGCTGTCACTACTAGCCGTTTGTCTGCTGTCTGTTAGCGTCACGTCACCTCAGCTAATCCGCCTCTTTCCCCATTTTCGATTATCCGGGAGTGACGCGCGGTGACGCCCTGCCAAGATGGCTCCGCCCACTTTGGGCTTAAAAAATGCTCTTCAGAAACCTACGGGTGATGTCATGGACACTACGTCCATATTTTTTTTACAGTTTATGAGTAAAATGTGTTGTTAAATGTCACAAGCCTAAAAGTACTTCATTCTGAAAATGTTTTAAACTATCATGAAGAAAAAGTTCTCAAACGGACGCCCCAAAGAACGCGCTGTGGCCATACTCACGAGTGTTCAGCACGCCGGCAAACACCCAACACTGAGCGAAGCACACAGGCTCACCACCCTCTTTGGCATATTTGAGCAGGATTTCAGGACTTCCGGTCCAGGCAGTCGGTGCTGTGCCTTCGGAGTAATCGCCACTCCAGTTGCCAACCAGGACACCATCATCGTCCTGGCAGTTCATCTGAAAATATATACCACCAAAATACTTAAATAAGACAACATGTATTATATGTATGTGTATTTGTATAAAATGGAATTCTCCATACTTTGATTACTAATATCAAATCATACCAGAGCTGATGCTTGCCGAACGATTTCAAGGGCACTTCCACGGAAAACTAGTGGTACTTTCCCAGCATCCAGAACCAAAAGACAGGCATCCAGAACCCCTTGTTCAAACTACAGGAAAATACATTAGAAGTTAATTCATGGGTGTCAAATCCTGGCCCTGGAGGCAAAAAATAATGTAATGCTGTGGAGGAGACCAGAAGATGTTTTTTTAATGGGTGTCAATGGAGGAGAGGCTTCACGTTTAACGTGAATATTTTGTCAACTTATCATTTAATGAATGGACAGTCCATCATCGGCTAATCTTCAGTATGTTTGCTATTAACATTTTAATTGGACTGATCTATTTTTAGAGTTTACACCGAATAAATGCTGTTTTATAAGAGAAGTCACGGACAATTCCACTGTAGGTCGGATTCAGTTTACTTATCATTCATTTCTATGGGATCCGCAAATAGTGATTGACTAATGCACAACTCTGGACGAAATTCAATGACTGGCTGTAATGTGATTGGTTATCAAGGCACACGTGATCCAAGTTAGCCGTCATGGTTTCTCCAATGGTAGAGCCACGGACCCTCGTATCTCCCAATATTTAGACCATGGCTGAATCCAAATTGCCCCCTAAACCCTTAATCACAATTCCCTACGTTAGACCACTAATACGGTTCACTTGAAGGAGTGAATAAAAACGAGTGAGTGAACTCGGACAGCCATTGAGTGTACATCGGCGATTTTGGATTCAGCCCATCATTGGTTTAGCTTCAACACTAATCAAACACACCTGGATTAGCTAATCAAGTTTTGGGGCTGTTGATGGTCTTGATTTACTCCATCCGAAAACTAAGGCAGCACACTTGTTGCCTCGCTGCCTTATAAGCAATGACTCTGCAGGCAGCGTAACAGTTTAATGATCTACAGCAAAATAGAGTAAGCTTTGGTGAGAGCTAAACAAATATTTAATCACTACAGTAGTAATTTCTCACTGGACATGACATCAGAAGTTGAAAACGCTGGTCAAAAACGTACATTTTGAAAACATACGTTTTCAAAAACTTACACACAAATTGACCAGCATCTGCAACCTTTCAGATGCCATCTGTATTTTTTAGATCACGTTTCACAAAATGGAAAGCACAGGATTGTGGGATATCAAAGGTAGTGAAGGATACATCAATGCTGCCTTCTAAAATCTATCAGATGAAGGCATCTCAGGAGAGAGGAAGTGAAGCTAACATTGGATACGGTCGTGCCTTGATGCCTTCCTTGTTTTTTTTTGTTTGTTTTTTTTTACTACATTTACACACATTCAAGTGTTGAAAGAATAAAGCTTAGAATAAAATGTTTTTTTTTGTTGTTGTTGTTTAAAAGCAGAGGCTCTGTTTTTTCGTTTGAAGTATTCAATGTTGACATATTCATACAAAAAAAATATTTGGTAACACTTTATAATAACTACACGGTAATAATCATTAGTTAAGCATGAGTAAACAGTTAATTCATCATTCATAAAGCATTAATAGACATTAATAAGCAGTTTATAAATACAGCTATAAATGCTTACTTCTTGATTTACAAGCATATCTATAATTTATTTAATAATTGTATTTTCATCCTTTATTAATGATCAATTTATTATTTCTAAATGATTAATTGCATTTTTTATAAACCAGTTATTTGAGAGTTTTCAGTGGTTCATAAGATTACTTAGAACCTGTAAGTAAATGATTAATAAACTATTTAAATGTACATTCATACATCTTATTATTCAGACATATAGTGATGGTTACTTAGTGTGTTAATAAATGCTTTATTAACATGTATTTAAGCTGTAATTCAGGGTTAATTCGGGTAGTTATAAAGCATTTAGTAGTGGTCAGTTAACTATGTTTGTGAGCTCATCTAAAGTGAGGACTATTCATGCCTTGTAAAGCATTTATAAAGGAGATTTAAAGGCTGTTTAATATTTCTATGTTCTGTATCACTGTGTTGTGTTTGTTACATTTTACTGTTTAGAAGAAAACTGAGTCTTTAAATCTTCTTTATAAATGCTTTACAAGGCATGAATAGTCCTCACTTTAGATTAGCTCACAAAATAGTTAACTGACCACTACTAAATGCTTTATAACTACCTGTATTTACTACATTTACTTACACTTTCTAAGTGATCTTATGAATAACTGACAACTCTTAAATAACTGGTTTATAAATAATGCTATACTTCATTTAGAAATTATTAATTGATCATTAACAAAGTATGAAAATACAATTATTAAACTCATTATAGATTTGCTTATAAATCAAGAAAAAAAGTGTTTATAGCTGTATTTATAAACTGCTTATTAATGTCTATTAATGCTTTATAAATGATGAATTAACTGTTTACTCATGCTTAACAAATGATTAATAGCATGCAGTTATTATAAAGTGTTACCAAATATGTTTCGGTCCATGAAAGATTTGTGAATATGATTAAAAATTCTGGCACTGACTGGCAACTTAAACACAATACTCTTGCAGGGAAAGAGTTTAGTGATGGAATATTATTTCGGGGCGGCGTTACTTTGGATTACTGCCAACCTGTCCAAAGTTCCATGAACGGTTGGTAATGTTGTTGAATTCTCCATTGTAGATGATCCCCACATCATTCATCACATACTCCTGTCTGTCTTCGTCTTTGTCCATGTACACGTGATCCGCTGGGAAGAAAAACATACAATATACATGATGCGTCATAAGCTTTTGTTTATGACCTTTGTTTATGTCAGTGCTCAAAATATTAAAGTTTGTTCCCAGTTTATTAAACGGATGGTTCCGGTCCTTGTGCCTTATTTATAAAACGTGTGTGCGCTAAAATCCACGCTAACGTCCATATTTACAAAAACTGTTTTTTTACATGGTGAAGTGCGAAGTTCCACATCTGGGTCTGAGCAAACATACGCACTTTTCTTTGTGCCAGAGAGTATTTGGAAATCAAGTAAAGTAAGTTCTCAAGTAAAGGATTTGGATGTTGACTGGTGCTATTTATGACATTAATTAGGCGCCGTTTACAAGGCGGAGTTCTCTGAATTCCTTCTCTGAATTACACGTATAAACAGTTCAGAAATGGTTGTAAGATCAAATGTAGGACAGTTTTCTATACAACATTTTATTAATGGGGCCTCTTGATTCCTATTGGTTGAGCCACGTTCGAAGCCTACTCTACAAACATAGACATGTGACCTTATTACACATCAACATTTAAATATATTTTTATGGACTATCCATTTTATAAAAGCAACAAGTCCTGTGTAGCCATGGTTTACAGTGAATTTAGAACCGCTAATGGGGTTTTTTAAATTCACTGTAAACCATGGCTTCGCAGGGCTTATTGCTTTAAGCGTAACTATTTTACTCACCAGGGTCCCAAGGATTGAACAGCACATAGACATCGGTGTCAGTGTTCCTCTCAGTGCGCTGTTTTCCCAAATCACTCACAACTACAACAAAGATTCGAAACCGGCCAATGATGCAGCTGGCGTCTGGTGTAATGCCCACGGTCACATAATTGCCTTGTGTTTCCACCACACGACTCTTCCAGCGCACTTCAGGTTTCTCTTTACCAATGGGCAAAATAATGTAGGTGCCCCTGTTTTCATCAGGTGAACTGCCTGTGAAATGAGCAGAACAGCAGACATGACCTGTGTTAGACTATGGGGATATTTCATGCACTAATGTAATGTACTGCTTCTTCATTACAGATGTACTTAATCATTTATTTAGTTTTAAATAAATCTAGATTTATTTATTTAGATTTATTACTGGATGCAGAATCTCACCAATCAGAAACTCCAACTCCAAATTGTACTGCTGTTCATTTAAGTCCCGGTTAAATTGGATGATGATGGTGAACTCTTTATTCCTGCGCACGATGAGGTTGGAGCTCACGTACTTGTGAGTGTTGTGGTCTTTTTTGTTCTCCGTCACACGCATGTCAACGCTCAATACTGAGAGACTTGCAGCTTGTGTTTCTAGAAGAAGAAAAAAAGACTTGCTGAAAGACTGTGGTCAATTATTTTGGTATGTTTAAATGCAAACACGTGTAAGACTTTACCTTCATCCGGGGGTCCCCTTGGCCTCAAAACATCAAATGCCACAAACTCAGGTGGATTATACTCCTCTAAATTTGATTTGGCAAAGGGAATACGGCCGCTTACCGAGGGCCAAGTGAGGCTGGGTTGTAGTAACATGATGTACACAAGATGCCTTGATGTTTGTCTGGAGGACAGATCATTTTAATGTTAGAAATATTCTGACGACATTATAGACTGCCCATTTGGTAAACATATTAGGTATATTTCAGGTGAGGCATGGCAAGAGGAAAGCACGACTAAAACACAACCAAACTTTTGTATTAATGCTAAAGAGTTTAGTCATTAAAAGCGTTGAACTCACGGTGTGTGTAGAAGAGTAGATGTTCTGCTGAGGGTGAGGAGGCTCCAGGCTGATGTGCTCATGAGGAGCTTCATGCTGATTAATAAAGGCTCAGGACTTCCTCTTCCACTGGAGAAAAACACATCCATGGAACCAGAGCGTCCGAAGTTAAGATGATCCCAAGATCAGGTCAGTCCGACCTACAACTCTGTGACCTTGCTTCTGATTCTTGATGACAGCAGCATATTCCAGACTGTCAATAACATGTAGATGAGATTATAATACTAATGTATTATAGCAATTCCTACAATATTTAATTATGAGAAGTAAAGTTAAGAAGTGAGCCGTAAACATATTTAAGGTCTTTTGAAGATTTCTCTAAAGCGTTAATGATAAGATATACGCACAATATGTTGAAATGAGGTGTTTGAATTGAGAATAAAGTAAAATAATATAATGTGATTGGCAGAAATCAATCATCAACAGTTCACAGAAATCATTGACATCTCTCAATTAAACAAATGATAGTGACATTCATTCACAAATCATTAAGAGTGTAAATACAAATTAATCCATATGACCTTTGTATTTTTGAGGCGGCAGTGGCTCAGTGGTTCATGTAGGTTGTCTACAAACCCGAAGGTTGGTCATTCAATCCCCGGTTCCACCTGACCAAGTGTCGAGGTGTCCATGAGCAAGTCACCGAACGCCAGCTGCCCCCGAAGAGCTGGATGGCGCCTTGCATGGCTGACACCGCCGTCGGTGTGTGAGTGAATGGGTGAATGTGAGGCAATATGTAAAGTGCTTTGGTGGCCATTGGGTCTGTGAAAGTGCTATAAAAAATGCATTACATTTACCATTTTAAACCAAATAATGCTTCACAAATACAGCAATTCCTTCATCAGACAACAAGTGTTGCTCAAGAATTATGAGCTTTATCACACCAGTCTAAAAGCTTGCAAGATCTTAAAGTCCCCTTGTAGTCAATTTTATCCCCTAAAACTCATCTTTGATCACCAAAATGACATATGGGACCATATTACCACAAAACCAGTCACATGTCGCATGGGTATATTTGTGGAAATAGCCAACAATACATTGTATGTGTCACACTTTGGCTGATGAAGCAGACAGACGAAGCTTGATTCCAAAAATATAACAAAGCTTTAATGTACACAGGCAGGTGAACAGGAAGCAACAGCGTGTAATACATAGACACGAACAATAACCGTCAAGGGACTGAACGGGGAGAATATATACACAGGGTAAACAAGGGAACTAACTAGACACAGGTGGATGACGGTTAACTAATAAGGGACTAACAAGAACAGGTGCAGACAAGACAGAACATAATTGTGACATTACACCCCCCTCTGAAAGGCGCGTCCTCGCGCCGTGATGATAACAGAAGTTCAAAAAACAGAAAAAAGGGTGGAGGTTTTGGTGGAGGGCGTGGACCTGGGGACGGACTCTACCCTGGGGGCGTCGGCCACGGGAACCGGTGGAACCCAGCGGCTGACGGACCATGGCGACACTGTACACCCGGAAGACGAGAGCTGAGCCGCTGACCTGCGGGACTGAGGCGGTGACGTGAGGACGGATGACTGAGGTGACGATGTGGTGAGGGAGGCCGGCGGGGAGGTCAGAGGAAGAGAGGAGTCCAGGGGTGCCGAAGGGGTGCAGAGTGAGGGCGCAGCCCGAATCCCGGAAGCGCGTAGCTGATGCTGGGCGTCGACCACTGAAGGCCGACCTGGAGTGTCTAGCAAGCCCAGCGGAGCTTCCGGGCAGACGGACTGCGGAGGTGATGAAGCAGTGGTGGGTCGAGATGAGGGCGACGGGCTGACAGGACGAGGTGGTGGTGTAGGCCTGAAGGCCCGAGCTGTAGCCGGGGACTCGGCCTCTAGCCGAGCTGGTGGCAGGGGAGCCTGAGGCGTGGAGGATGACCTCCACGGAGCAAGCGGCGATGGCAGAGCCGAGGAGCTACACGACACCAGTGGTGCCGACTGATCCAGGGGGCTGGCCTGGACCAGCGATGGAGACGGGACAAGGACAACAGGCAGGGATACGGACAAAAGACTCCTGGATGGGACCTGCGAAGATGATGATGATGTGAGGGTGGGGACTTGGGTGGGAATAGGATCCGCGGACCACAGGTCTATCAGGTCATAGTTCGCTCCTGGCTCTTCGATGGACTGACCCGCCTGTGTCAACTCCAGGGCTGGTTCAGGAACGACCTTGGTGGGCGCCTCGGGCTCGCTGGCTGTGAGGGAGAGGTCACCATTCCGGATCATCCAGGCCAGGTAACCCAGATTGGGCCTGCTCTCTTGGCAGAGGAGAAGCTGCAGCGTGGGTGAGTCCATCAAGTTCATCTTTGTTTGGTCGGTTATTCTGTCACACTTTGGCTGATGAAGCAAACAGACGAAGCTTGATTCCAAAAATATAACAAAACTTTAATGTACACAGGAAGGTAAACAGGACGCAACAGCGTGTATTGTAATACATAGACATGAACAATATCTGACAAGGGACTGAACTGAACAGGGAGAATATATACACAGGGTAAACAAGGGAAGTAACTAGACACAGGTGGATGAAGGTTAACTAATAAGGGACTAACAAGAACAGATACAGACATGACACAGTATGGGTCAAAATTATTGATTTTTCTTTTTCTTTTATGCCAAAAATCATTAGAATTTTAAGTAAAAATCATGTTCCATGAAGATATTTTATACATTTCTTACCGTAAATATATATAAAAAAAATTTTTGTGAGTGGATGCAGCAAAATCGCAAACATACATGGACAACTTTAAATTTTAAACTTTTAGATTTTTTTGCACCCTTAGATTCCAGATTTTCAAATAGTTGAATCTCGGCCAAATATTGTCCTATCCTAACAAACCATAAATCAATGAAAAGCTTGTGAATAAACCTTTATGATGTATAAATCTGACCCTTGTGACTGGTTTTGTGGTCCAGGGTCACATATTTAAACGTCTTTACCTTGAAAAAAAAATCTTCATGCCTTAAAATAGCTTGAATGTAACTCTAAAACCCTTTCTTCATTTACTATACACGGTTCTATGAATATGCAACTGAGTCCCGCCTCCACTCACTCACAGCAGCTCAGAGATCCACTCATGGTGTAGTTTTTACACGTTGATCTGATTGGTTACAAGGTAGTTTGTGACGTCAGAAATACCAGCGATTTCAAACTTTTGAGACTGACTCTTTGGTTCACTGCAGTTTAAGGAGAAAATACTCAAAGAAGACAAAACTCAGCAATGCTGTTGACTTATGAATTTGCACATGGTTTGTTTTAAATCATATTAAAAACATCACATAGACATATAAACAAAATTAAAGGCTTGATTTTCACCACAGGGGGACTTTAAGAAAGTGTTTTGGAACAACAGCATGCATTGCTGGAATGTGTGTGACTTTACTTGATTGTGGATTTAATTGATGGATGGGCCTACAGTAATGGCCAAAAGTGATGTCCGGAGAGGATATTTGCACAATATTTGCTTTTAATGGCACTTCAGGTTCTATTAAACAATCAAAATATGAGGAGTATGTTTTAGGGTGTTAAGGAATTAAAATCACAAAATTATATGGTAAGAAGGGCGAAAAAAGGGTTTTATTTTATTTTGTAAAAAAAGGCATAGAAAACAAAAATCTCAAGGGAAAAAATCATACATTGACTACAATGTAATCAGTTTTTAATATTTTATTGCTTCTCCCGTGTTTTTGATTACAGCAGCCATTCTCCTGCTGGGCATTGTGCATGTTTTTTTGAGCTTTGCTACTTCTTTCCAATCCTCCTTGAGTTCTTCCCAAAGTTGGGAAGACCTGCATGACTTGCAGACATATGCCATCCCCAATACCATTACGTTTCCCATGCCATGCTTAATGGTGCCACACATGCATTTGGAATTAAAACAGTCCAGTCGTGACAAAATATACAAATAATTCTTAAAAAATTACAAATATATAAAAGATACTATATTCAGTTGGATTTCAGGAAATGTCTATGAGGTCATGTCAACAAAACCTTGTTAGTGAATACGGGGAAGTGAAACTTGTGACACGCTGACATTATCATTTGACACAAATGAGAAGTTAAGTTGCCTCGTTCCGCGTATTTCACCTAAAATTACTGAGAAGCTAGTCAGATTCTGGGTCTAAAGCAACTGAAAGGCTATGAAGTTACGTCTGTGTGATAATATGTTGTTGGTTCTGATTCTGAGTATTGTTCAGATGAATTGGGTTTCCTCTCAGGATCACCAATGGCCTCTTCACACAGTGTGCAACTCAGACAGACTCACGGTGACCTACAGAAGCTGCGGTGAGATCAGTGTTACACACACTACTGTCAGTGAGATATTTTATTCAGCATGGATGCATTAAATCGATCAAAAGTTACACTAAAGTAATGTTACAAATGATTTCTATTTAAAATAAATGCCGTGCTTTTGAACTATATTGGTCAAAATAACTCTGAAAAAAGGTATCACGGTTTTCACAGAAATATGAACTGTTTTCGACATTGATAATAATCAGAAATGTTTCTTGAGCAGCAAATCATCATATTAGAAATTGTGGTAACACTTTAGAATACTGTGTCTTACTTACTGCATAACTAACAAGGAATTATTGAAGAACTAGTTGGTAATTCTTCATTAACTACTTCTTCACTGCTGTTAACTACTAAGGAAGATGTGTTAACTAATCAGTATGTAATAGAATTTTATGATTGTGTTTAGTTACAGTTAGTTAATCAATAACTAATGAATTCTGTCATACCTCCTGAAGAACTACCATTAATTATCTACTAATTAAGGTTCAAGAAAAATAACTATGAAGTAACTACTAATGAACAGTCATACACAGTAGTCACTACAATAATCCAGTTTTTTTTTTTTTGCATTGTAGTGGTGGAAGAAGTACACAAATCAAGTACTTGAGTAAACCTACAGATACCCCAATAAAATATTACTCCAGTAAAATTATAATTAGGCCATTTTCAAAATTACCTTAGTAAAAGTACAAAGGTAATTCATTTTTAAAGTACTTAAAAAGTAAAAAGCATATTATTATACTTAGTTCTTATACATTTTAAACTTATTTTGCACCATTCAAGTTCCGGCAATATCATGGTAGGCCACATTTTACAGTGATTTGGTGATGCAAGAGCGCATTTGCATCCTCTTCTGGAGAGTTCTCAGCGCCGCCGATTTGGTGCATTTCTTCTGCGAAATACAGGTTTGTGTACGTTTTATTTAATCTATAAAATCATTACTGTGCTGTAAATCATTTTCTTTTATGCAAGGCAACATACAAGGACGCGATGTCAGTTAGCCTACCTAGCTGAGTCGGTGTTTTTTGCGTGATGGAAACACCTGATCCCTTGCATAAAACAAATTATTTTATTCATAAAGATAATAAATCTATTTACATCAGATGTTAAAATATGTTTTTAGAGCTGTGCACTGTTTGTTTATGGGCAGATTATGGAGTCAGTCACAGCATATTTCGGCTATGAGTGAAACGCAGGGCGGCGGTCTGAAGTTAAGCAGTTTCCCTGCCGAACACGAGCCCAGCTCCCGCAGGAGATCCAGCACCGCTGCCGTGGAAACGAGACCAGCTCCCGCAGGAGATCCAACACCGCTACCGTGAACACGAGCCCCGCTCCCGCAGGAGATCCAGCACCGCTACCGTGAACACGAGCCCAGCTCCCGCAGGAGATCCAGCACCGCTACCGTGAACACGAGCCCAGCTCCCGCAGGAGATCCAGCACCGCTACCGTGAACACGAGCCCAGTTCCCGCAGGAGATCCAGCACCACTACCGTGAACACGAGCCCAGTTCCCGCAGGAGATCCAGCACCACTATCGTGAACACGAGCCCAGCTCCCACAGGAGATCCAGCACCACTACCGTGAACACGAGCCCAGCTCCCGCAGGAGATCCAGCACCGCTGCCGTGGAAACGAGACCAGCTCCCGCAGGAGATCCAACACCGCTACCGTGAACACGAGCCCCGCTCCCGCAGGAGATCCAGCACCGCTACCGTGAACACGAGCCCAGCTCCCGCAGGAGATCCAGCACCGCTACCGTGAACACGAGCCCAGCTCCCGCAGGAGATCCAGCACCGCTACCGTGAACACGAGCCCAGTTCCCGCAGAAGATCCAGCACCACTACCGTGAACACGAGCCCAGTTCCCGCAGGAGATCCAGCACCACTATCGTGAACACGAGCCCAGCTCCCGCAGGAGATCCAGCACCACTACCGTGAACACGAGCCCAGCTCCCGCAGGAGATCAAGCACCACTACCGTGAACACGAGCCCAGCTCCCGCAGGAGATCCAGCACCACTACCGTGAACACGAGCCCAGCTCCCGCAGGAGATCCAGCACCACTACCATGGAGACGAGCCCAGCTCCCGCAGGAGATCCAGCAACACAACCGTGAACACGAGCCCAGTTCCCGCAGGAGATCCAGCAACACTACCGTGAACAGGAGCCCAGCTGCCGCAAGAGATCCAGCAACACTACCATGAACACGAGCCCAGCTCCCGCAGGAGATCCAGCAACACTACCGTGAACACGAGCCCAGCTCCCGCAGGAGATCCAGCAACACTACCGTGAACACGAGCCCAGCTCCCGCAGGAGATCCAGCACTGCTACCGTGAACACGAGCCCAGCTCCCGCAGGAGATCCAGCACCACTACCGTGAACACGAGCCCAGTTCCCGCAGAAGATCCAGCACCACTACCGTGAACACGAGCCCAGTTCCCGCAGGAGATCCAGCACCACTATCGTGAACACGAGCCCAGTTCCCGCAGGAGATCCAGCACCACTATCGTGAACACGAGCCCAGTTCCCGCAGGAGATCCAGCACCACTATCGTGAACACGAGCCCAGTTCCCGCAGGAGATCCAGCACCACTATCGTGAACACGAGCCCAGTTCCCGCAGGAGATCCAGCACCACTATCGTGAACACGAGCCCAGTTCCCGCAGGAGATCCAGCACCACTATCGTGAACACGAGCCCAGTTCCCGCAGGAGATCCAGCACCACTATCGTGAACACGAGCCCAGCTCCCGCAGGAGATCCAGCACCACTACCGTGAACACGAGCCCAGTTCCCGCAGGAGATCCAGCACCACTATCGTGAACACGAGCCCAGTTCCCGCAGGAGATCCAGCACCACTATCGTGAACACGAGCCCAGTTCCCGCAGAAGATCCAGCACCACTACCGTGAACACGAGCCCAGTTCCCGCAGGAGATCCAGCACCACTATCGTGAACACGAGCCCAGCTCCCGCAGGAGATCAAGCACCACTACCGTGAACACAAGCCCAGCTCCCGCAGGAGATCCAGCACCACTACCGTGAACACGAGCCCAGCTCCCGCAGGAGATCCAGCACCACTACCGTGAACACGAGCCCAGCTCCCGCAGGAGATCCAGCACCACTACCATGGAGACGAGCCCAGCTCCCGCAGGAGATCCAGCAACACAACCGTGAACACGAGCCCAGTTCCCGCAGGAGATCCAGCAACACTACCGTGAACAGGAGCCCAGCTGCCGCAAGAGATCCAGCAACACTACCATGAACACGAGGCCAGCTCCCGCAGGAGATCCAGCAACACTACCGTGAACACGAGCCCAGCTCCCGCAGGAGATCCAGCAACACTACCGTGAACACGAGCCCAGCTCCCGCAAGAGATCCAGCAACACTACCGTGGAGACGAGCCCAGCTCCCGCAAGAGATCCAGCAACACTACCGTGGAGACGAGCCCAGCTTCCGCAGGAGATCCAGCAACACTACCGTGAACACGAGCCCAGCTCCCGCAGGAGATCCAGCAACACTACCGTGAACACGAGCCCAGCTCCCGCAAGAGATCCAGCAACACTACCGTGAACACGAGCCCAGCTCCCGCAAGAGATCCAGCAACACTACCGTGAACACGAGCCCAGCTCCCGCAGGAGATCCAGCAGCACTACCGTGAACACGAGCCCAGATCCCGCAGGAGATCCAGCACCACTACCGTGAACACGAGCCCAGCTCCCGCAAGAGATCCAGCAACGCTACCGTGAACACGAGGCCAGCTCCCGCAGGAGATCTAGCAACACTACTGTGGAGACGAGCCCAGCTCCCGCAGGAGATCCAGCAACATTACTGTGGAGACGAGCCCAGCTCCCGCCGGAGATCCAGCAACACTACCGTGAACACGAGCCCAGCTCCCGCAAGAGATCCAGCACCACTACCGTGAACACAAGCCCAGCTCCCGCAGGAGATCCAGCAAAACTACAGTGGAAACTAGACCAGTTGATTACTTGAATTACTTTTAAAGGTTTAACTTTTGATTTTAAAATGTTTGTTAAATGAGTTTAAATGTAGGCAGTATACATGTTAAAACAAAATATCATCTGAAATAAAGGAAGATATCATGTAGCTTAAACGAGTCATTGTGTATTTTACAAAGGTTAGTTAGATGATTACGTTAATAGTGTTTTTTTACAGTAAGTTTTATTTGAGTCAGAAGTATGTGGTAATTCTTTATTAATTACTAATGGGTTCCCTATATTTTCACTTTAGAAAAGTGTTTCAGGTTATAAATAGCCTAATTTCTGGATAATTATTTGATAATTCTTTAGTAATTACTAATGGGTTCCCTATATTTTCACTTTAGAATAATGTTTCAGGTTCTAAGTAATTCCTGAAGAATTATCTAATAACTCTTTATTAATTACTAATAAGTTCCCTATATTTTCAGTTCCCCTCAGTTGTTGCCTAAAATACATGAATTTACTCAATATGCTGGGGAAAACAGACACACACAGTACTGTATATGAAATATAAAAACTAATCTGAGGTTAGTTTTGTATGACTGTTCAATAGTTGTTACTTCTTAGTTATTTTTCTTGAACCTTAATTAGTAGATAATTAGTATAGTTGGGGGCCTTAAGCACATAAATAGGTGATTTCGCGCAAATTCATCTAAAAGCGCCAAATTTGGCACAGATGTAGCACAGGTCATACCGAAATGTTTTAGCTAGGGCGCCGGAGCCAGCGACCCTCGGGGCCAAGATGGCGGCCAAATCCAATATGGCCGCTGCCCGAAAAGGGTTCCGGCTATAACTTTTGAACCACATGAGTTACAAATACAAACTTGATATGTTTTTCAGCTTAATTGATCATGGGAAACACATAGGAATGTTTATATTTATGACCCAGTATATCTGGACCCCTTGATCCTCCAATTCCAATATGGCCACTGTCCAAAAAAGCAATTTGGGCTGTAGTATGGGGCCTTACACCCCATTGTTTGCGCAAATTTATCTACAAGCACCAAATTTGGCACAGATGTAGCTGAGGGCATACTGAAATGATTTAGCCAGGGCGCCCGAGCCAATGGTCCCTGAGACCAAGATGGCGGCCAAATCCAATATGGCCGCTGCCTGAAAGGGATTCGGCTATAGCTTTTGAGCCAGATGAGATACAAATACAAACTTGATGTCTATTTTACCTTTTTTTGACCATGGGAAAGCCATAGGAATACTTACATTTATGATTGGGTATATCAAGACCCCCCAAATTCCCTAAATCCAATATGGCCGCTGTCCGAAAAAGCGTTTTGGCTTCAGTCTTACCAGTCTTCTTGATATACCCAATCATAAATGTAAGTATTCCTATGGGTTTCCCTTGGTCAAAAAAGGTAAAATAGACATCAAGTTTGTATTTGTATCTCATCTGGCTCAAAAGCTATAGCCGAATCCCTTTCAGGCGGCGGCCATATTGGATTTGGCCGCCATCTTGGTCTCAGGGACCATTGGCTCGGGCGCCCTGGCTAAATCATTTCAGTATGCCCTCAGCTACATCTGTGCCAAATTTGGTGCTTGTAGATGAATTTGCGCAAACAATGGGGTGTAAGGCCCCATACTACAGCCCAAATTGCTTTTTTGGACAGCGGCCATATTGGAATTGGAGGATCAAGGGGTCCAGATATACAGATATAACCGGAACCCTTTTCAGGCAGCGGCCATATTGGATTTGGCGCCATCTTGGCCCCGAGGGTCGCTGTCTCCGGTGCCCTAGCTAAATCATTTCAGTATGATGTGAGCTACATCTGTGCCAAATTTGGCGCTTTTAGATGAATTTGCGCGAAAATGTGCTTAGCCTGAAAATTTGAACAAGCACAACTTACAGGTCCCACCCCCTTGCTCTCTGCTGCGCTACAGCCCTCCCTCCACAGCTCGTCCTCCTCAGCGGAGCCCGTCGTGAACGCGCAGGCTAGTAAACAGGGCCACCGATAACAGCGGATAAAAAGTTATATGCCACATTCACTAATAGGGACTAAACGTCAATAATATGCTTTACATTGACTATGGCCTGCCCATACTTTGACTAGAAACTTGGTCCTCAAATCATTATTTATTTTGCAATAGCCTACATGTAACTTTATAACGTTGCACTCTTTCTAGTTATAAATAGCTAGTAGATAACGTTAATATAACGGTAACTAACGTTACAGTATGTAAGTAATTATTCTAGCGATATATAATGCTAGATGAGGTGTGCTAGTACATTATTTCAGCAACATGACAAGCCAGTGAATTAGCAGGTTTCAATTGTTGCTTAGCAGAGTGCGTGACATTTTATCTACATGTTATGCGGCTAGAGTTTTGACACCGAGTCAATGGCCTCTGTGTAATTCTTTCTTTTTCGCTTGTTTATCGTCATCAGTCTTTTTCCTTTTACCTCTTTGTTTTATGAGCAGGTGTCACTCGAGAATTGGCAGTTTAGGTTGTTTCTCCGTCATAAGCACAGCTGCAGCACGCCGGCAATCTTGAGTGTGAACGACGGCTCGCGCTGTGAGGGGTGTGATCAGCGCGTACACGAGCGTGAATGACACTGCTAAGACATTCCTCCTGGCTCTGATTGGTTGTTTCTGACCGGGAGCGTGTATTTCTTGCAAATGGCAATAGGACCACAAGGAGGAGCCAGAGGAGCTTGATTTTTACACAGATTATCTGTCTCATATTCTACTGTCAGGACATAATGACAGTTTTAGGAAATACATTTTTTCAAAAGTTACCTACAGCAGCTTTAAGGCCCCCAACTAGTAGTAGTTCTTCAGGAGGTATGACAGAATTCATTAGTTATTGATTAACTAACTGTAACTAAACACAATCATCAAATTCTATTACATACTGATTAGTTAACACATCTTCCTTAGTAGTTAACAGCAGTGAAGAAGTAGTTAATGAAGAATTACCAATTAGTTCTTCAATAATTCCTTATTAGTTATGCAGTAAGTAAGACAGTATTCTAAAGTGTTACTGAAATTTCTAAAGGATCATGTGACATTGAAGACTGGAGTAATGATGCTGAAAATTCAGTTTTGATCACAGGAATAAATTAAATTTTACGGTATAATCACATAGAACACAGCTATTTTAAATCGTAATAATATTTCACATTTTTACTGTATTTAATGTATTTTTGATCAATGAAATGCAGCCTTGGTCTTAATAAATCTCACTGACCCCAACACTTTTGAATATGGTGAATGAATTCATATGCACATTTCTGAATATATGTTATTTTTGTGTTGTTTGATTGAGAGATGTCGATCTTTTACATCAACTAATGATTTCTTATATTCAATTCAAACCCCTCAGTTTATCTTAATGTATTTCAAATTGCCTTTTTTCCTGATTTCACGTCTCAGACCCTTTACAGGATGTAGGTTTCACTTTCCTGCCTTGCCCTAACAGATTGACCGATCCTATAAAAATCAGATTGGCCCTTATTCTGAGTAAGATTTTCATCTTTATTAATATTATCATGTCAGAGGAATGAAAGCAAGCCTTGCAGCAGTAACTGTGTGTTCTCTTACAGGGCAGTCCATCGATGAGCTTTATTCATCAGTTGAGCTGCTGCTAAAAGACACCCATGTATTGAGTCGGGATGAACCCCTCTGTCTTCCTCATTTCCCACGGTTCACTTTTTGTGGAAGCAGGAGAGGAGGTGAGCACAGGAAGGTTTTGGTTATATTTGTCATTTTTATGATATGTATGTTGAATGCAATATGAAATTATTAGGATTTTTTTTTTTTTTCTCCAGAGCTCGTCACCATAGGATCATCGTTTAAGTCAAAAGTAGACCTTCCTCTAAAGGTTTGGCTTTTACATTCCATTTAAACATCTATGCTTTTATTTATGTTAGCATGGAACTGATGTATTTATTGCATTATGTATATTCCACAGGGTGATTTTCATCTTAACCTACATGCAATAAACCAAGACGGCTTCCAGATTGCCTGCGTTAATGCAACTATTTACATCCAGCAAAACTAGAGGACCTGTTCTTCAGAGTGTCTGTAGAGTGTTTTCTCACATTATGTTGAGCTCAGACGTTATACTGCATTTCAGCAAAGGTGTTTAATCAAAGTTAACTGTGTTGTTCCTCTTTGGGACATTCATCATGCATTCAGGATTTTTGCTGCTTTCAGATGATTTCATAATTTTGTTGTTTCGCCCTTGTTATACCTTTAGTCTTAAATAAAAATTTGAAAATCCATTATCAAAATCAACAATTCTTTTTTCTTTTTTTTTTTGAGTATTGCAGTATTTATTATAAATGCTTTATCCATGCACATCATTATAATTCATGTTCCATGTAATCAGAATAACTTCCCCTCCCTCTTGCAGCATTAATTCTCTTCTCTGATGATGAGGGCGGAGCAACCTGTCACTCACATGAGATCCACCAATAACAAACCACAACCATTCAATCAATTCCCCACAGACAAAATCAAGTCTTGAACAAGTCATTTGTTTTTGTTCCAGTATAGCGTTTCACTCAAATGCACGTCAGGGTAGGCAATGAAATACTATCGCAACTTGTTTTAATACCAACAAAAAAAGAAAAAGAAAAAAAGGTTTAGACTATATTACATTTTGAAAGCTATGATCTGAACGAAATAGTGGGTAAAAAAACACCAATCATTTCAATATTTTTTTGTGAAAATGTTTGTCATTAATTGTGACTGTGCCAGTTTTTTTTTTTTTTTTTTTACTTTTTTTAACTTTTTTTTTTTATTATTATTATTTGCATTTCTTAAATTCACAATGATCAAAAAAAAAAAAAAAAAACTAGTAGGGTGCTACAAATACAGGTCTTCCATTCGTTTCATACCTTTGAGTGCATTACATAAGTCCATTTCCACCATCGTATTTTACATTTATGTGCTTCCAATCTCAGGTGACTGTGCCAGTTTTGCCTCGAATAAAGCTTATTAATAGCCTATGTGTGTATTGTGTAACGTACTTGGTTGTAGCAATGACTCGCTCGACAAAAGAAAGTACTGGAACACACTTTAATGGAACTCTTCACAGGAAACATGTAGAAAGCAACCAAACATCTATGAACATATGTAGACCGACAGCCACATGAAGGAAACTAAGGGTAGGCCTGTTTAAACACGGGGACTAATGGGATAATTAACAAGACAACAGGTGGAAATAATGAACTTTCAGAATACAGCAAAACTAGGTCACAGGGGAAACACAAATTAACTCAAGATGACCAAACATGTGACAATGTGCCCACTGAGAATTATGTTGATTGTGCCCTGGTAATTGGTGATTCGATCACACAGAACGTGAAAATAGAGACACCCGCCACCATAGTCACATGTTTGCCGGGAGCCAGAGCGCCTGACATCAAAGCAAATTTAAAAGTGCTTGCTAATGCTAATCGTAAATTCTCTAAGATCATTATTCATGTCGGCACTAATGATGTTCGACTCCGCCAGTCGGAGATCACCAAAATTAATATTAAAGAGGTGTGTGAACTCGCAAGTACGATGTCAGGCACTGTAATTTGCTCTGGCCCTCTTCCTGTTCGCAGGAGTGATGAGATAGTTAGCAGATTGGCCTCACTCAATGGTTGGCTGTCGAAGTGGTGTCCGCAGAATAATATAGAATTCATAGACAATTGGAAAAGTTTTTGGGGCAAGCCTGATCTGTTGAAAAGAGATGGTATTCATCCCTCCTGGGCTGGTGCTGCTCTTCTCTCTAGTAATTTGGCTCATAGTCTTAGAGATAAAACTTGACAATCTGGGGCTCAGGTCAGGAAGCAGACAGACTGGCTAAACCGACCGTCTGCTAGCGGCCTCACGTCACCAAGGTCAGATAAATCCCATCACATTGAGCCTCTTTCACCTAGATATCATATAGAGACTGTGTCTGTTCCCCGAATTTGGAAATCCAAAAAACGTCAGGTTAAAAATGTAATTGATGTTCAACAAATAAAAAACAGATATAATACAGATGAGCAAATGATAAAGCTTGGGTTGCTGAATATTCGATCCCTTACTTCAAAATCTCTCATAGTTAATGATATGATTTCAGATTATAATCTTGATGTGCTGTGTTTGACAGAAACCTGGCTAAAACCAAACGATCACATTATTTTAAATGAGTCAACCCCACAAGATAACAGTTATAAACATGAGCCTCGTCCGAAAGGCAAAGGGGGAGGTGTTGCTGTAATTTATAGTAATATTTTCAAAACCACTAAGAAATCTAGTTTTAAATATACTTCTTTTGAAGTATTGGTGCTTAATGTAAAAATATATAGTGTAAACGATAAATCACATTTGAGAATTATGCTGGCTACTGTATACAGGCCACCAGGCCACCATAAAGATTTTATCAAAGAATTTGCGGACTTTCTATCAGAATTAGTATTGGCTGCAGATAAAGTACTAATTGTTGGTGATTTTAATATACATGTAGATAATGAAAAAGATGCGTTGGGATTGGCATTTAAAGACATTGTAAACTCAATTGGAGTTAGACAACACGTGTCAGGACCTACTCATTGTCGTAATCATACTCTAGATCTAATATTATCACATGGAATAGATATTGATGCCGCTGAAATTCTGCAGCAGAGCGATGACATCTCAGATCATTATCTAGTCTCATGTAAATTACATTTAGCCAAGGCTGCAAAGCCGACTCCGTGTTATAAATACGTTAGACCTATAACTTCTGCCACTAAAGATTGCTTTATCAATAATCTTCCTAATCAGTTTCATCATCTCAGCATCCCGAATAGCTTAGAAAAACTTGATATTTCAACAGAAACTTTTAACTCTCTCTTTTCCAGCACTTTAGACGCAGTTGCTCCGTTGCGCTTAAAGAAGATTAAAGAAAATAGTCCAACGCCGTGGTACAACGAGCACACCCAGGCCCTTAAAAGAGCAGCCAGAAAAATGGAGCGCAACTGGAAGAAAACTAAACTAGAGATATTTCGCATTTCGTGGAAGGAGAGCTCGATTGCTTACAGAGAGGCTTTAAAAGCTGCTAGATCTGCTTACTTTTCAACCCTATTAGAAGAAAATAAACATAATCCAAGGTATTTATTTGAAACAGTGGCTAAACTAACGAAAAAGAAAGCTTCAAGTTAAGAAGTGTCCAAGCAACACAGCAGTGATGACTTTATGAACTTCTTCACTTATAAGATTGATAATATCAGGGACAAAATTATAACTATGCAACCGTCTACATTTATATTTACATTTAGTCATTTAGCAGACGCTTTTATCCAAAGCGACTTACAACTGAGGACTAAACCAAGCGAGTCATCGTGAAGAGGCAAAAACAACGCAAGAAGTGCTCAAAATACAATGTTCAGACATAGCTCGGAGTAGCATAAGCCAGGCAAGCGAGGATTTAGAGGAAATGATTTTTTTTTTTTTTTTTTTTTTAATGTTAAGTGCTCCCGGAAGAGATGAGTTTTCAGTTGTCTTTTGAATGCTGTCAGGGATTCTGCATTCCGGATGAGGGTGGGGAGATCATTCCACCAGCATGGAACCGTGAATGAGAATGTTCTGGAGAGTGATTTTGTGCCCCCCTGTAATGGTACCACGAGCCGTCGCTCATTGACCGATCGTAGGCTTCTGGTAGGGATGTAGACTTGTAGTAGTGAGTGGAAGTAGGAGGGAGCTGAACCTGTGGTCAATCTGTAAGCAAGCGTCAAAGCCTTGAACTTGATGCGAGCAGCGAGTGGTAGCCAGTGCAGAGAGATGAACAGAGGAGTGACGTGGGCCCTTTTGGGCTCGTTGAAGACAAGACGAGCTGCAGCATTCTGGATCATTTGTAGAGGTTTAGTTGCACATGATGGAAGTCCAGCCAGAAGAGCATTGCAGTAATCAAGCCTAGAAATGACCAGGGCCTGGACGAGAAGTTGTGTTGCATGCTCAGTTAGGAAAGGCCTGATCTTCCTGATGTTGTGCATAGCAAACCTGCATGACCGAGCTGTCTTTGTAATGTGGTCTGTGAAGGTCAGCTGATTATCAAAGATTACTCCAAGATTTCTGACCGACCTTGATGGGGTGATTGAGGATGAATCTAGCTGGATAGTGAGGTCGTGCTGTAAAGACGGATTGGCAGGGAGGACGAGAAGCTCAGTCTTTGCCAGGTTGAGCTGCAGGTGATGTTCCTTCATCCATGCCGAGATGTCCGCTAGACAGCTTGAGATCCGTACAGCTACTGTGGGATCATCTGGTTGAAATGAGAGGTAGAGCTGGGTGTCATCAGCATAGCAATGGTACTGTCTACCACAGTATCGCATCAGGGAGTGCATTGTAGTCTCCCTGAGGAAAAATTTGATTCATTTGTTGCTATAGGAGAGGAAGAATTCTGCAAACTCGTTAATTCATCTAAATCGACAACTTGTATGTTAGATCCTTTTCCGACTAAGCTTCTGAAAGAGATGCTTCCAGAGGTCATATATCCTCTTCTTAATTAATCTTTTTCTCTAGGATACGTACCAAAAACCTTTAAGCTGGCTATGATAAAACCGCTTGTTAAAAAACCACAACTCGTCACGTACGTCAAGAAGGTCCAACACATTGACCGTTTCTGGGACACTCATCACTACACTGAACAAAATTATAAACGCAATACTTTTGTTTTTGCCCCCATTTTTCATTAGCTGAACTCAAAGATCTAAGACTATTTCTATCTACACAAAAGGCCTATTTCTTTCAAATATTGTTCACAAATCTATCTAAATCTGTGTTAATGAGAGCTTCTCCTTTGCCAAGATAATCCATCCACCTCACAGGTGTGGCAGATCAAGATACTGATTAGACAACATGATTATTGCACAGGTGTGCCTTAGGCTGGCCACAATAAAAGGCCACTCTAAAATGTGCATTTGCGCTTCAATATTACTTTCTTAAGCCACATTAAGCGTCTTATATGGGGAAGAACACTCTATTACAGTGCCGTTGTATGATGCACATATTCTGACCTACATTAATACAAAACCGAGGTTTTGT